CCTCCACCGGCACCAGGCTGGTGCAGTTGGCGCCGCCGCCCCCGCCGGGCCCCGGCCCGTCTGTCAGGTCCACGTGCTCCCACTGCGGCACGCCCTCCTTGGGCCGGAACTGGTCCAGGTAGAAGTCGCGCAGGCCCTCCTTGTCCCGCAGGAAGTAGGAGGAGCAGTTGGCGCGCTTGCGGTCGGCGGGCGGCGAGGCGGCGCGGCGCGGGTGGTGCTGGTGCAGGTGGGGCCGGCGCCGGAAGCCCAGCTCGATCTCGTCCAGCTCGCGGCGCGACTTGGCCGAGGCCGGCCGCTTCTTCAGGCTGTCGCGGTACTGCTTGCGCCGCTTGGCGTTGCCCTCCAGGTTGCCGTAGGTGACGGTGTGCGTGGAGATGTCGGACACGTCGGAGCGGATGTTGCCGTCCTCGGGGCAGTAGCGCTCGTGCGGCGAGCCGGCGCCGGCGATGAAGCCCGAGCTGGCCGAGGCGCCGCCCTTGAAGGAGAACTTGCCGTAGAGCTCGGCCAGGCCCGGCTGGAAGCCCGGCGGCGCCGGCTGGCCGCCCACCAGCTCGAACTTGCTGGCGCGGTGCGCGAGGGGGGCGCGGGGCTGCGTGGTGAAGATGGGCGCCACGCCGCCGCCCAGGCTGTCGCAGTCGTACAGCGGCCCGTCCAGCGAGCTGGCGCTGCCCAGGCTGTGCGGGCGGGTGGGCAGGCCGTGGTGGTGCAGGTACTGGTCCTGGTACAGGTTGCTGTCCTTCAGGTGCAGGTTGCCGAACGTCCGCTCCACCTCGCTGATGTAGTCGCTGAACATGTTGTCCTCGGGCAGGTAGGGCGGCTTGCAGTCCGAGTGGCCGGCGAAGCTGCGCCGGTGCTCCGAGATGTCGTAGACGGAGGACTCCCGGCGGATGAAGTCCAGCGCGCTGTGCGGGGAGCCGTTCACGCCCGACAGGCTGGCCATGTTCTTGGCCGTGCGCAGCAGCCGCAGGATGTTGGAGTGCGTGTTGTTCATGGTGGCCGAGGGGGAGTTCAGGGCCGACTTGCTGTCCTCAATCTGCACACCG